TGAAAGTTTTTGAGCTTTCTTATGTTTCCATAGTTATTCTTCTACGCTTACTGCTCGTATATTTATTCGCCTTCCCCCCTCCCCACGAACGTTTTTACTTTGTTTTTTTTTTTTTTTTAAACTGAGCAGCTGATGAAAATAACATCTTTTTGAATGTTTTGGGTCAGTTATTTTCCATTATCTGAACTTTAGTTGTTGCTTTCATAGTGGGTTTCTTGTGTAATCATGGATTTTTTAACTATTAATTCCAGTGGAACTCAATTTAACTGTAGTTGTCGTTTTAATAGTGGTTTTCTAGTGTAATCATGGATTTCCTAACTATTTCTGAACTTTAGTTGTTGCTTTCATAGTGGGTTTGTTGTGTAATCATGGATTTTTTAACTATTAATTCCAGTGGGACTCAAATTAACTGTAGTTGTCGTTTTAATAGTGGTTTTCTCAATAAATTTTGCCAACATGCTTTTCAATTCATTCTACAACATTTCATTCCGACGTGGTAATAAAGACTTATAATGCCCCTAATACATTATAATTAATTACAATAGTAACGCCGCATTATAATGTGGTATTATACATCGAAACGATTCATGTTCTACTAATTATTGATTATTGTGAGATGAATTCTGTTTTCTCTGATTGTATGTTTCATACGTGCGAAGCACGTACACTGAAAAAAAGTTCTGTTGTAACAAACCAGAATTTCTGGTTGTATTTCGCAACCAGATTTTCCGGATGATTCAACCAGAATTACAGTTGACTCAACCAGACGTCTGGTTGACTCCACCAAATTCTAGTTGAGTCAAATGTAATTCTGGTTAAATCAACCGGAAAATCTGGTTGCGAAATACAACCAGAAATTCTGGTTTGTGACAACAGAACTTTTTTTCAGTGTACGGGTCACTAGACGTGGGTCGTACGGGTGGCTGATAAAATTGATCTTCGAATAACTTTTGATGAGCTAAGGAAATGGGTCCATCTGCACCTCATAGACATTACATAGTTGCCGTAATTAAGGTCATCCCGTAATTAAGGTGCCGTGATTTAAGTCATAAATTCTTCATCCAATTCTTGGTTCATCTCCATAATGTCTGCTAAAGCTTTCATGCGCTTCTACTTGTATGCATGAATGAGCATATTGGGTATCCAACAAGCGGACACTTTTTTAAAATTCAGATGATTCTTGACAATATCGAACAGAAGTGCAAGAGCTGCGTACAAATCTCTGCGCATCTAGCTCATCAAAAGTTATTCGAAGATCATTCAAAAACCTCTTTGACAAGTTACAAAAACTTTTCGTTAACAATAGTGTCACACGGTACTAGGGATGGTTACTTTTTAACGAACCTTATATTTCCCTGACTCAGTCCTAAATTATAGAAGTATGCATTAATTTTCCAGCGATCCAAATAAAATCAGTGAATTAAAAGTTATACGCATATATTATGAGATATTCGGATTTGTTTCCTGCAATATCGCCGCGCGAAGCGCGGGTTGACTGCTAGTGCTAAAATAATAAGTTGTACAGGCCCAGGCCTACAGCCAGAATGGAGCCAGGATCCGAAATGGTAGTGATTAAAATATGTTTAAAGCTCAAAGCGAACTTGAATCTATAGACTCATGTGAAAAACTGTCGTTGATTCTTATGTTTGGGGGTCGCATACATCCTAAAAACTATTCGATAGGGCCAAATTTTGCACAGCTCTATTTTTGTGTTCTTTCCTTCGGCTATTCTATTTAGAACCGAGGTTCCAACCACACAACCTTTTGTGAAATTGCCCGATTGTTAAAATGAAACAAATTGCGAGTTCTGTCTATTGAAAGGGAGTGCGCACTCTCAAATTAGAAAAATTGGTCCAAAAATTTTTCCGGCTCCATTCTTGTCACCTGTCTCCCCAACTTTTTACTGGGATCCAAAAGCCAAGGCCAATAGTTTTTCATAATCGCCATTCTAGTTTGCACGTGTGTTTCCATTTTACGTTTTTGTATCATTTTTTGAGGAGATGAGGCCTGTAATTTTTTATTCATGAATCTGTTTTGTCGCGTATTTGCCTGGGATGAGACTAGTCATAGCTATAAGCTCTCTGGCATTCATATTTTCATTTTTTGTCACGATCAGTTCTAACGTACAAGACAGATTTGTGCGATTTTTGCGACCATCGGCAGGTTATAATCCTTAGATGAGCCCGTTCTATTCAGATTTTGTGAAAATGACCCAAGTGTTCCTATATCTACATAACGTGATCAAGTAATGAATTCTTCCGTTTATTAAACAACGTTGATGGCCAAACTGCGAAACCATGTAGCTCCGTTTGCGACGTTGCAGACTTCCTGTCGGGTATACTTTAATTTTTCTGCAGAAACTCTATTTTCTCGATATTTCCTTGATTTTTCTTTTGTGGTAGCAGAAAGTTTTCTCCATACATTTCAAGCTGAGGGGTTAGCTTCTGAGAGCAGAGTGGAAATTTTGAAACATCGCAATGGAGATATCGACGGTGAAACTACCAAACCACGTATCTCGTTTGCGGTGTTTAAAAATCTACGCTCACATTTTATTTTTTTGAAGTAGACCAAATCAATATCATTTCTTGAAATTTTCACGGAATTTTTTCCGCACCAAGAGGAAAAATCACAGAAATTTTCAAGACTGGATGTTAAGTAGTTTTTCATTTAAAAAATAAAGTATGACAGGAAGTCTGCGACGTCGCAAACCGAGATACGTGGTTTGGTAGTTTCACCGTCGATATGTGGTTTCACACTTTGGTCCTCGATGTAAATGTTCATTTTCTGTCACAGTTCGTTAGGATGGCTCGTATCTTTGAAAGTTGAGAAAAGTTCAGGTCTCCGTCGTTTGAAATATGATACAATGTGAAAATATGAAGAATCTTCTTGAAAACAAAATTGAAAAATCTTTTTAGAGGTCTTTCAATCGTCCGAAAGGGCGCATATCGAAAATTTGGTATTTTGGCAAAAGAAGTGATGTTTCTCAGTGGAAATCAGTAAATTGTGCATCTTCAGGCCAAAAATGTTGTCCTCTTTGGCTGCATCTTTGACCGTATCTTTAGCCGTACACGGGGAAAAAAACTTCGTGCGTGGGACCCGAATTTGAGGTCATTATGAGGCCATGTGCATTAGGTATGACGTGAGCCCTGTCATGCATAAATTATTATGGGTCTCAGGGCTCATGTCTTAATGCACATAGTTCCGTTTGCCAGAAATACGTTCAATTGTAATACATAGTTCCATTTTTAGACGTTGATCGCTGCAACATTCAATACTCAAATCTCCCGATCATCGAGTAAAGAAGAGACAGACACCAGAACCTTCGAAACCTATGTCTTCCAACCATCGAGTAAAGAGAAGACAGACACCAGAACCCTCGAGACTTATGTCTCTCACCCATCGAGTGAAGAGAAGACAGACACCAAAACCTTCGAGACCTATGTCTCCCAACTATCAAGTAAAGTGAAGGAGACAAGTGCCTCGGCAGAGCTTGACTCTTCTCCAGAACCCACATTGAGACCTCGTAATGCACCATGTTGCTGGTACTTTTTCGGATGCTGTTGTGACGACGACTGCTTGGTACCATTTATTCTAAGGAAACGGGACGAGAGAAGAGCAAAAAGAGAAGCCAAAAAGAAGAGACAAAGAGAAATGCTCGAAAAAAATGGTCGGTCAGGATGGAATCCCTTTGCATGTCTACTGTCTCGATCTTCTTCTGAGCCGGTTGAAAAAGAAGTCACGAGCCGAAGTTCGTCGTTGAATGGAAGTGAGAGCGGACGAAAAGAGCAGCGTGAAGTATGATATTACCATACCATAGTCCGATTGGGACCTATATGCAGATAAATTAAAATCTATTAATTGGTAAAAGTATAGCCAGTGTTGAATATTATTAATCGAGTCGGGCTTGAATGCGTTGTTTTGTCAAAGCTTTTCGGCTATAAGCCATTATCAGGACCGATATAAGCAGAAAATAACATGATCTGAGGGGCTTGGCGAACAAGGTGCATTAGTGCAGTTTTTGCTTTTTTGAGAAATACGTGTTTGAAGTTTCGGACACATGGATCCTTATGGCGGAAAGAAAGTTCAAACTAACTTTTTGATGCTTAAAAATTGGAATTTGGAAGCGAATTTTTCACTGACTAGTTTTACTTGAAATTATTTACATCTCAATTTTTTCAAAAACTGCACTCATGCGCCTTGTCCTCCAAGCCCTTCATCTGTCCTTGATTAACATTTCATCAGAGGATGAAGGGAATTTAGTTGTGTTTTCTGATTATTATCAGAATTATTTCTTATCAAAAGAGGGAACTCGTAACTTATTATCCACTAGAGTGCGATGCATATGTGGTAGGTATAACTCATTTGCTGTCAAATTTATGTCTGTTTGAATATTAAGTGGATTTCACTTTTCAAAAAAGAACCACGAGCATTGCAATGTTGCTAAGATTGTGCAACTTCTTTTGTCTCGGATAACAAACCTGATTAACCATTGAGAGTTTCTATTTCACTCGCTGAAAACTGTGAATCTAAGACGAAAATGACAATGTAAATTTCATATTTTTTCATGATTTCAGTTATTTTACTGCAAAGGATGAATTTGCACAATCTTAGCATTATTGCAATACTACTGGATCCTTTTTGCAAAATACAATCCAAGTAGTGCTTCGTCAGTTTTCAAATTCCATGAAATTTTCAGTTGGAAACTCCGGACAGGCTCCCGGAAAAAGGACAATAAATTGCGATCGGCGATTTCGCAGCGATGAAATGTTTTTACGTTCGTCCGTCTGAACACGGACAAATGTCATGGATGATTGGAACGGGTCAATGTTCACGGTAAAAATTATTCCATGACGTCATGACAAAAATCTCTCGAAAGGAACTGAGACTCGCACCGTTGCAAAGGCGTCATTTTAAACAATCACAATGCGCAGAATCCATTAAATTTTCTGTCACCCATGATGGCTTGTCAATTTTTTCTGTGCCCAAAAAGCACTACCAACTCATGTTGTGACGTCGCGCCAGGGAACTACGAGAACCAATCAGCAAGGGCAAAAAAGTAGACTCTTGCAGCTTTACGATTCGCAGTTTTCTGAACTTTGACATACAACGGACACATTGCTTTTCAAGACCGCAGGATTCAACATTGTGATTGTGAACGTGATCTTTGATTTTTCAAGTAATTTTTCTTGGTTAAGCTTCAAGTAAGGCTTTGGAATATCCGTTGAACTAATCATATTGACATTGAACTTATGAAATCTCTGTTGTGTGTCACCAGTATTTTCCTCGTGGTAAGTTTCGTGTACATAATTTCTTTTAATTCCTTGTGCGGCAAGTTATTCACCTTCGTATCTTATTCTCATTTTGTAAAGGGTCCAAAAATTATTTTAAATTTCAGAGTTTCTTTTATCATCCCTTAAAGGTCACTTTACTTGTCATAACGGCATATCATTCATTGTGAACTCTATAATGACTGAAGTACTGCACATAAATCAGTGGCGTGGCGTGAATTGCGATATATCGATTGTTATGCCATTTAAACCTATGGTAAAGAATCGATTATTAAGGTGTTCGCTGCGAACACCCTATTTATCGATCCTTTTCCATAGGTTTAAATGGCAGATCATTCGATACATCGCAAAGCACACCACGTCACTGACATAAATATGTTTGCAAATACGCGAGCACTGTTAAAAAGAATAAAACCTACTCTGTTCTCATACAAAAGGTAAGTCGGATCAAGTTAGACTCAAACTAAGCGGAAATGAAAGGCATTAAGAGTCAAACGCTATATTCAAAACCTCACAAGTATAAAAGTCAAAATTGACACAAAAATTTTTACTTTTTTAGGGCTTACTTATGTGGGACTTTTGAAGGGCTGTGTACTATGTCACAGGCATACAGCCCTACAGCTTTAGAACCCAGTCTTACTGCCCATAGTTGGCGCTATCTATACTATAAGCTCCAAGACCTCCTAATTTTGCGAAACTGGTGACGCTTAGTTCCAGCGTTCTACCGGGCCGATTTTCATGATTTTTGCGGCTATCGACGGGCAATTGTCTCCAGATAAGCCAACTCTTTTCAAATTTTCAAAATATGGCCCAGGTTTTTTTATATTACGTGGTAAAGTTGCGAATTCTCCCATTTAAACAATGTAAATTTATACGTTTTGTCATAGTTCGTTTGAGCGTTCTACCGGGCCGATTTCCATGATTTCTGCGTAAATCGACAGGTAATAGGCCCTAGATGAGCCCGCTGTAATCAGATTTTGGAAAAAGGACCCAGGTTTTTTTAAAATCACGTTATAAAAGTGAGTGAGTTTACAGAATGCTCCGGTACTGCTACCGCTATGCGCGGGAGGATGCGCAGTGGTCGAGGAGGTTGCGCAGTAGCTGTGTAGCCTGCGCATCAGCTCTACACTTATGTACACAAGATTCGCGCATCATACGCTGAGCGGTGGCCGAGTCGTCTAAGACGTCGACTGCATCCACATTGCACTAGGTGTGGGTTCGATCCCCGAATCATGAAAACATTTGCCTGACTATCATTGTTAATTATTTTATTGCAATATTTCATCAAGCAGTCATTCCAAAACGCGTCCTTTTAATTTTAAAGTAATTTTAAGTAAAGTTTAAAATTGAAGTATACCTCATATCGTAATTTTTTAGGGGAAAAATAAAACTAACACTGATAGGAGGGTAAAAATAGGGCCGCGAAGCGGCCCATTGATGGCGCGGAGCGCCTTCAGGGGGTTGGGCCGCGTAGCGGCCAGGGGGCGTAGCCTCCTAGTTTTAACTAAAGTGGTAGAGCTCAGCGCTAAGGTGATTTTTTCGTGTGACTCTCTCTCTCATCTTTATTTTGGGAATGCAGGGAAATTATCTGCGATACTGTAAAAATTTGATTTTGAGAGAATATCTAAGATGCTCCATTACCTTCTTTTGAGCGTTCACCACGTTAGTAGTGTACGCTCTTTCCCGTCGTTTTGCATCGGGTATGTTACTAATGTATCCATTGATAAAGGCCCGCACTGCTCCATGGAAATCGGCGTCATTTTTCGTGGCGAGAAGCAATACCTAGTTTCTCAATTTTTTTCATGTATCATTTCTACCTTTCTTCTCCTATTTTGTCCACTTTATGTAATGCCTGTAGGCTTGTCTTTGAGAAATTAATATCTTTACGTTTTAAAACTCTGCAACGTGCTTTTTTTGGTAACCATGAGGTAAAAAGTGGCGAATTTGCGCGCAAGTATGAAAATTTAAGCCCTAAATGCACATCAGCTCTATCGTATGCCGGATTGGCTGGGACGTTTAAAATAAAGTGGGTATGAATTTTAGACAAGAGCAAGGGGTGGGACTGGGATCGAACCGACCTGAATAAACCTAGAGTGCCTTTATAGCGAGAGTATGGACAGATGTGAAACTCCGAAAATCCATTAGGCCTTCACCGATGCTTCTGCGAATAGAGATAGGGCCCAGAAATGCAGCCAAACTATGAATTTCAACTACCCAGAACGATTTACTAATACTATTGTTAAGAATCGTCGTTTATAAAGCACGTATTTGACTCAGTTTTTGCATAAATTTACTCACACGGAAAAAAAAGAATTGCTGATTCAGCAATTCAATTGCTAAAAACAGCGAGTGCAATGTTTCAACGCAGATTTTACAACAAAAAAATGCTACTTTAACCACATTATAAACTAATTTAACCACATGGTAAACTAATTTAACCACGGGGGTGGTTAAAGTAGCATTTTTTGTTGTAAAATCTGAGTTGAAACATTGCACTCACTGTTTTTAGGAATTGAATTGCTGATTCAGCAATTCTTTTTTTTTCCCGTGCATTTTTGCGGAAGAACGCTCATTTCTGTACATTCTTGGCCATCTTGGTTAGAATTGGAATCTGCAGACTCTGCAGGCTGGCAGTGAAATTTTGTGTGTCAGAAGTTTGTTAGAAGGATGGCTGCACTTTTGGGCCCTAAGACCTCCATCAAGCGATCTGTCCATACTCTCGCTATACAGGTACTCTAACTAAACCTAAGATTCTTTCAAACAGATTCAACCAACAATTTCTCCGTGAAAAAATAAAATGGAGGCGGAAATTTTGAAATGTCGAATGGCGCTTGTGATATTTTGACCGAACGGTGATGATTTAATATAGAGTTGATTGGAGGTAGTCGATCCCATTAATTTTGACACAGTATTTTAATTTTTAGGTTCTCGCGCCTGGAACACTCGAAATATATGCATTCCAACCGTCCAGCGCAGTGGCTACAGTCGCTGACACCAGCACCCTGACAGCAAGCTACTCACCTCAGGGAATCAGTCTGACACCTAGGTGTCTATGGCAGTCTTTGTTCAAGAAGAAGAAGAAAAAAAAACAGGAAGCCAAAAAAACAAAAGACTTGCTTGAATTTAATGGTCCCACCAGCAATGGAAAAGGGGTGCCTTACCCATTAACACCACCCCAAAATTCGCCGAACAAAAGAGGGAAAAAAAAGGGTCGCAAAAGTAGAATGTCACCTAACAGGCCATCTCAAGGAAGTGGGCAAGGATAGGACCACGCACGGAAAAATTTATATTAATGATGTAACAATTTTGTAGTTAAAAAAAGTGTCCGACATGTTTCAATGTAGATTTTACAATAACTAAATGCTAATTTAAGCACTCCCTAGTTAAATTAGCTCTCCACTAGAGTCCTTTTATAGGGAGAGTTGAGACAACGCGGTTTATGGACGTCAAAAACGGGAATAAAGATTACGCAAATCGGACGTTTTTTGTAATCTTTGATCAACCCATTCCCGAATTACTGTCTCCTTCCCCTCTCTTTATACCTTGTCGTACTCTATATTCCCCGGTTTAACCCGGTTTATAATCTTTGCAATTGGTGAAAATGTAATCTTTATTACCGTTTGTGACATTGTGAAGGCCTTAATTATGGTAACAAATCAGAAATGGATTAGCATTGTCTTTACTCTCATGAAGGGACTCAAGAGGAATTGCTCTACATGAAGAGCACCTATGAATGCAGCTCATGTTCTTTTAATAAATTTCACGATTTTACAAGAAATGTAAATAAACTAGTATTCTTTCACTCTAAATAATTTGCAAGCAGCGAGCACCATTTTTGGGAGTTCCTAAGAGCTGCGCTCAACCTAAAATGGCAGAGCCAACCAGAACTGAATCCATTATGTTTATGATGCTCTCACTATTACGTACCATACTTATATTCACTCCCATCAACAATATATTTCAAAGACTCCACATAAGATAAGGCCTCGACGCACGATTTTTATTACCAACGCTTATAGCCTGTGTCACACTATCAAAATATATACATTCAAGTCGCTTTTACAGCGGGCCCGGGCGCTCTGCGACACCTAATCGCCATTCTTGTCTATCGATCCAGAGGTCATTTGGTAAATGATATCTTGTAATTTCCTCTTAATTGCCACCTATCTACGATTTTACTAGACGTCCCCTACGTCTCCTCCCAGGAGGAACCCAATCTAGTACCTTCTAAGGCAATCTGTCATGAGTGTCATCCGCCGTTTGTTGAACATGACCATACCAGACAAACTGTTTGGTCATAATTTCATGCTCAGTGTTCTGTTTGGCGTTCATGATCGCACACATTTTTTTCGTTCCTCATGTGATCCTTCCTCGCGATTCCGACAGATCTTTGCCAGAAATCCATCTCAGTTGCCTTAAGAACCTTTTTTGGTACGATATTTCATGGGCCATACTTTGCTGTTGTAGGTCACTATCAAAGCACTCCATCAAAATGTCAAGGTCGAGTGCTGTAATTGGACTGCATTTTGCAATTTGGAATTATAAACTCTGGCTCTTTTGGAAAAGCACTTATGTGTATAGAAAAATTAATGGCACATACGTCGTTTTTAAACCGGGCTAGAATTTATAGGTCCAAATTGCAAAATGTAGTTCAATTTGCCCAAGTCATCGAATAAGCCAATCACAACACCTAATCCTCATATTTTTTTATGACCAGCTTTGATAGTGTGACGCAGGCTCTTATGCATTTTTGGAGTTTTGAACACACAGACCTCCCTGCGCATACTTTAAGTAGGTGGTTCCTTGCCAATTCGAATATTGTTGTTTATATCGAAAAATGTTTCAAAATTTCTGAAAAATATAATGCCTTTTGAAATGTCACGTGAAATTTCAATTGAAAAATTATGTGAAATTCAAGGGACATCTCGATCTCAAAAAATTATTTGTCCCGCCTTCCACACTGAAAACAAATTCTCGGCGTTTTCACAAAGGTCCGTTGGTACCTTTACCATCTCACCTTTTTTACCAATTATTGGTAATTTTACCAAGACAGACTGGTAAGCTTACCTAAAAATCGGTATTTTTACTGTCCTTTTCAGGTAAGAACTCCACTTTTTTTGGTAATCAATTCCCTGTAACTTTCCCATTTTATCTCGGTAATTCTACCATAGTCGATATAAAATATTGGCGTTTTTACCAAGGTCCAGTAAAATTACCGAGAAAGTTCAATAAACACGCCAATTCCATGAATAGTAATTTCACCAAGAAAAAACTGGGATCAAATAGAACCCTGAATTCTTGGTAATGTCACCCTTTTCTTAGTAAATACACCGAGATTTTTTTGTCAGTGCATGCAAGCTGACAATCGCGCACTCTGGCGTCCAGAATATGAAAAGAGCACCGATCGCTCCGAGAGGAAGCTAGGTAAATTAAAGTGACACTCTCGACTCGCCACGCCGAGAAGTGCCCCTCCGTTTCACGTGTTTACGCCTTTACAACCGGTAATTGTGTCCTCATTATACCCGTCCAGATATTTACCCGTCGCAGCTGATGCCCCAATCTCCGCTTTAATTAGAAAAACGAGCGCCGTGATTTGTTTCCTACAGAGGGAGAGACGTCCCGCCGAGGAACAACCGCCCAACTCCGAACGGAAACACGATGTGGATACGCGCTTTTGACCCGAGCTCAAAAACGCGTATTTTCAATGCAAAACGTCATGCAGATACGTGGTTTTGCTCGAGGTGGTTGTTTTTCCTGCCCCACGATGCAGTTCCTCAGAGTGTCATTTTCTACACTTAGGCATGATAATGGAGGAGAATGTACTGCTGAGGCGTGTCATGGTTTGCGATGGATCGATTGATCTGCTGTTTAAACCAATGAAAAGGGTCGATAATTAGGGTGCTATCGAAATGCACCGTAATGATCGATTATTCAACATGACTCCAAATGGTATGAAAAATGCTTCGGCTGGTGCTCTGGTCAAAGATGGCGGGGGGTATTCCTTTTGTTAAGTGAGGGTTTCGTGGCGTGTCCATATTGATTTGAACTGAGGAAAATAGCCATTTTGATTGCTTTTTGTCACGATTATTTGGATCGCATTTAGGAAAAAGGCACCAGCGCGATTACAATGTTGCAAAAACGTCCGCAAAGGGACAAGCCCTGGTATAAATTGGCAGTAGAATCTGTGTTCCAAAATACCATAGCCCTACAGCCGGCTGTAAGATTTCCAATAGCTTCCATAGCCGGCAACACAATTTCTTATAGCCTTTTATAGCCGATGGCGATTAAGCAACAGCCAGGCGATAAAATGTATGCTAAACTTTACTAATTACGGATGTTAGGACTTAGTGAGTTTTTGGAATACTGCTCTCTTTTTGGGCCGTAGTATCTTGATTTATTTTGCGAGGAAAGCTCCGTACTTTTGAAGAATGACTGTCATTCTTAATATGTTGGAGCTCCTTCAATTTCATATGATACTGTGCAATACCTCTGGTGTGAAATAGTTGCTTCAGACGCCGTGGCAGGCGGGCAGCCAGCGCGAAACATGCATTGGCGCCTACTAACCTAACAGGGATACTTCACGCGTTGCGCAATGCGTGAAGTATCCCTGTTAGGTTTGTAGGCGCCAGTGCGTCGCCGCCGCTCCGCTTTGTGTTAGGCCCTAATATTTAATCTGGCTTAGTCAGCGTTATTCAACTCATGATTTTGAAATGTTTGCACATCCTGTATGGATTATTCTCATTTTAATTGATGAAAAAAAAAATATGTATTAAAGGAAAATATAATGTGTGTTTTGTAAATATTAAGGTGGTTCCGTGTCAAACTTAATGATTTCCAAAGCACACGAATTTCTACACAATTTCTTATAGCCTTTTATAATCGATGGCGAAAAAGCAACAGCCCGGCGATAGGAACTATAGCTCGGCTGCACAGTTTTTTATCGCTTCGTATAGCCCGGCCGTATGATTTTCTCCGCATTCTACAGCCAGCTATATGATTTTCTGTAGCCTTCTTTAGCCGGCTATAAAAATTTCTATGGTATTTTGAAACGCAGCTCTTATCGCCAATTTTTACTAGGGACTTGTTACTTCTTCATCAGTGGCGTGGCGTGAATTGCGATGTATCGATTTTATGCATTTTAAACCTATGGTAAAGAATCGATTATTAAGGTGTTCGCTGCGAACACGGCCTGTTTGTCGATCCTTCTCCATAGGATTAAATGGCATAACGATCTTTATATCGCAATTCACGCCACGCCATTGTTCTTTATAATGGTCCAAAAAATATCGTAGAATAGCAAATAGTTGTGGCTCCCCACCAAAAAATTCTTAACTTTAAAGGAGAATAATTGTGTACATATTAATACTGTGCTAATATTTATTATTTTTATAAGAAAAGAAGAGGCTGCACCATTTTGAAAGCACTGTAGTTGCGCTGGTTCCTTTTTGCTAAATGCGATCCATTTTTCATGATATTTTCGATAACTGAAAAATTTTCCAGTTAATTATATTTTATTTAAGCTTGCTAAAGAGCCGTGATGAGGGTAAACTGTCACCGGAGAAATAATCAATTTTGTGCTCGATCTCTCTGGTCAAGGAGTTGCGAGGGAGTAAGAAAAGTACGTTGAACATAGATGTAATCTCTTAAAGACCAATTAATATACAATCACCGATTTTTTTTTTCAGAATTCAAAGTTGGCACCTTCAAAGTTTGATACCTCAGGCAAAAAGATGTATAATGTGTTAAAAGTAAGAAAACCATCGTTCCGCAATTACTTTTGCGCCCCATGCAAATATGTTATTTTTTTTATATCATGTGGCGAGCGTGATTTTCTATGAATTTTTTTGCTGTATATCCTGAGAAAAAATTTCAGTCATATCTGTTAAGTTGAATCAATCAAATTTTAAAATAAAGACGATAATACATAATGTGCCAAAGGTGCTTACCTTAATTTTCGCTTTCAGCTATTTTTTAAGTAAATTTGAGAGGATAATATACGTGGTTTTTTTTTTTTACTTTTTTACCCTTGTCTGTTGTGCTAACAAATCAACGGGTACTTCAATTTAAGGAAATGAGACCCGCATTGCCATGCCGATCAAATCGGTCTTCATAATAGATTTCGTTCAAAATTTCCTATACATATAGTAATTTGATGCATCGTCATTTTTTAAATCAAATTTGTTTCCGGAATTAATATTCTGGATGCACCTGCTAAGTCTATCAACCATTAATTCAAAATGATATAGATGGAAATACATAAGTTGAATCAAAATTACTATAT